GAAGATGTCGATTGACATTACATTGGAATATTTGGAGATTATAGCTGTCAGGGAAGCAAGTAAGAGCAAGTGAGTTCTACTGTCGAGAAGTGCGAGATAAGCAGTTGTCGGAGTAGAAGAGACGGCTACATTTAACCGTTTCGACAGTGAAACGGTGGGACCGAGATGCCAGCCTAGTAGCACGCTTAAATTCCCGCAGTTTGGGAACCAGTGAAAGTAGCTCGTAGGAGGAGTTGTCGTGAAAATACTTGTTGAGATAACAGAGGCAAGGCAAGGCACAGCATGTCTGTGAGAAAGTAACCGTAGACGAGATGCCAGATCAGGACCTATCACATTGCATATCCGTCTCTGGATATTGTCGAGGACCTCGAGATGAACAGCGGGAGCAACAGACCATGTACGTGTTAACAATGAGTAAAAGCAATTCAAAATTCAGTCACGCTGTACCATCTAATATAGACTAATTCGATACTTGTGTTTCATTCTATCATCCTTGCTTGTAGGTCATCAACATTTGATTAACAAATTCATGGTCATTGTTTTGACGAACTTTCCTCTTTGGTACGTAGACTTTGTGTATTTAAACACGGTACTAGATTGGCGGAAAGGTCGCACGGGTTCAATTTTAGACTTGAAATGGTTAGATGCAACAGTAAGTTCTATACTAACAGTTTCATCTATCGCACTTCTCGCTTGCAGAACCCTCTTCCAGATCCTTGCTTCCCAGTCAAGTTTGATCTTCAAAAATATAAATGCAATGTCAATCGTTATCTCCAGTCTTCTTAATTTCTCTTCTTTTAGTGTTCTTTTCTGCTTAATAGTTTTATTTTTCTCATATTCTCCAACACTCAGTAATCTTTTGCGTCTTAGTGGCTTTATTGCCTTGCCTGGGGTTAAATGATAAAAAATGAATATTAAGTGGGGGGTCAGTTTATTTTACAACTAAGTCATAAATAGTTCCCCCATTTTTTTTTTTTTTATAGTAGTTGAATGTCTAAAGCTACTAATTTTTTTTTAATTTCGTTACATGTTTCTTTTCGGGCTATTTTTTTTAATAAGTTGAACTACACATGAGAAAAAAGTAAATTTAAAATCTGGTACGGCCGGACATGTTAATCTACGCTGGTTCGCAACTTATAATCCAATCTAGCAACCTTGAGTCGGTCCAAGGGTTCTTGTTCGAAAGTCTAATCGACAATCTTATTCGAATTCCTGACGTGGTTTTGACCATGAGGCGAAGGTTGTCGATTGTAAATATCTGTTCAGAATACGTCTCTGATGTTTTCCTTCCAGGCCGTGGGCTTCCTGTGTTGTTTTTGTAAACAAGTTTGTGTTTCCAAAGCAAGAAAGTCATGTCCGCAGCTGCCATAGTTTCTGACGTCAGATTTTGTTTTGGCTGTCCCACTGCTGTTGAGAGTTAGCCCTTGGGGTTAGGAATCTGGAAGAGAGAGAAAAGGAGAGAGAGAGAGAGAGAGGAAAGGTCAGGAAAAAAAAAATAAAGAAGAAAGTTGGGGAAGTGGTAAAAACGGAAGGAAAAAAAAAAAACGGAAAAAAGTGCAATAACAAGAGAGAAAGAAAGAAAGAAATAGTATAGAGCAGAGAAAGAAAAAAGGAAGAAGCAAAGAAAGTTTAAGCTAAAAAGAAAGAAAAGAACAAAGAAAAAAGAAACAAGCAAAGAAAAAAGCAGAGTATTGAAAGAAAGAAAGAAAGAAAGAAAGAAAGAAAGAAAGAAAGAAAGAAAGAAAGAAAGAAAGATTGAAAGAAAGAAAGAAAGAAAGAAAGATTGAAAGAAAGAAAGAAAGAAAGAAAGAAAGAAAGATTGAAAGAAAGAAAGAAAGAAAGATTGAAAGAAAGAAAGAAAGAAAGAAAGAAAGATTGAAAGAAAGAAAGAAAGAAAGATTGAAAGAAAGAAAGAAAGAAAGAAAGATTGAAATAAAGAAAGAAAGAAAGAAAGAAAGAAAGATTGAAAGAAAGAAAGAAAGAAAGATTGAAAGAAAGAAAGAAAGAAAGAAAGAAAGATTGAAAGAAAGAAAGAAAGAAAGAAAGAAAGAAAGATTATATAACATTGAACAAAAGAAAAAAGAAAGAAAATAGAAAATAACAAAGAAAGAAAAGATTATACAGTAAAGAAAGAAAGAAAAGAAAAGAAAGAAAGAAAGTATAAAAACTAGAAAGATGAGACGAATGAGTAAAGAAAAAAGAAAGAACTAAAGAGAATCAAAGAAAGAAAAAGACACAAAAAACGAATAAACGGAATTAAAAAAAATAGAAAGAAAAGTAGTAAGAATTAAACAAAGAAAGTAATATAGAATAAAGTAAAGAAGAAAAAAGAATGAAAGATATGAAAAAAATGTAAGAGAGGAGGAAGAAAAAAATAACTAAAACTGGCAAGAGAAATGAAAATGGAAAAATAGAAAGAAAAAAGAAAGAAAAAGAAAGAAATGTAAAAGAATATAGAGCAAGTGAAGAAAGCAAAGAGTAAAGAGCAAAGAAAGAAACA